TTTTTTTTTTCCTCCCACATCCTACGTATCAAGAAAAATAAAAATTAAACTGCTGTTCTTGAGATCACAGATTTGGTGACTGCTTACAGAATATGCAGCTGTTTGGATAGCCGAAGCAGACCTTAAAAATATCTCCACATAACTTTTAAAAAAAAAATTATATAAAAAGTACAGCACAGGAAGACATTGCTGATCCCCTTCCTAATCCTGCCATCAAGGCTAACAGGTTCGTGTGGGGATTGGAGAACCGAGGCTCCCCACGAAACAAACCAGCTAAAGAATGAGTAGAACGAATCCTACAACACCATCACTTATTATAGTATTTCCCACCCAACAAAGCTGTAGACGGCGAAAAGGCCACAACTTTCAAATATGATCTGAGAGATTTTAACATTAGTCAATTGGGAAATTTTGCATCGTAGTTCTGAGGAATCTGAAAATGTAATACCGAATGGAGTTAGAAATATAAAGAAGCAAATTAAAAATAAAGTCTATGGCAGGAACCATACCATGAAGGTAGCTGTAATCATTTTTCCGGCAAACCATCTTCCATGAAGTGCACGCTGCGCATTCATGGCTGCCGTAGTGTTTTCGAAGCGTAGATAGACGAAACCAGCACTATTTCTGTTACGAGTAGACAAGGAAAGCATTATAAGCTCACAGCATCAAGATACAGCAGCTTTTCTTTTTTTTTTCATTTATAAAGATAAATAAATAAAATAAAAAAGATCCAGTAGCTAGATTTCACGCTATATATTATAATCTGAATAGAGACTAACTAATCGGAAGTTTGAAAGAAAACCTAAAAGTGAGAGCTCCCATTCAATAAACACTACAAATTTTTACAAAAACCCAAATGACACACCACGTTTCCATTTCCATCGCAAAAAACGAATAGCTTTACCACACTTTCATTGTCATGTAACCCTGCTCAACCTTTATTTTTGTCATAAACATACAATGATCCCACAAATAATCTAGCCATCCAATAACCCCGTGAATGATTATCAAAAGCACAAGATGCCCTCAAATCAATATGCTACTCAATTCCCATCAAACGCCACCCTAGACATTTGCAAGAGTAAATTTAAACTTCTAAAAAAAA